TGGATGGATGGATGGATGGATGGATGGATGGATGGATGGATGGATGGATGGATGGATGGATGGATGGATGGATGGATGGATGGATGGAGTCAATCTCCTTTAACAAATTACACTTTTACTTCATGTTTTGAGTTCATAAACCAATCAAAGTATTCTAAAGATTAGTGAAGGGAAGGGAAGCTTGTTTATTTTAAGTGTGGCAGTACTAAACCAGGCAGTAAAGCAATAAAAAGCTAAATTAAATTGTGTTTTTCATTTTGTGTTGACTGTTTGATACAAATTTAATCGCACTTTGAATTACTAAATACCTACAACTCACTACAATAAAATAAAATAAAAACTATTTTCTTGAATGGGGCCTTGTCCTGGACTATAACAAGCACATTTTATCCAGTCAGATGTAGATCTGGATCTTTTTGACTCCGCTGTTTCAAATTTAGTGTTAATAATTTCAAAAGTTTGTTAGGAAACAAACTAGGATTTATAGCAAGTATTGCTAAATAATCAAAGTTCCTCATGAGATAACAAAATCTGCTAGTATTTTACTTTACTGTTTTACTTATTCTACAGCAGTTTGAGCTTCATATTGTATATTATTTTTCTGTTTATAATTCTGTTCACTGCATCCCTGCTGTGCTTTAAGTTTCTTGTATAACCATTAACTAGATTCAGTGACTCGAATTAAATATAACAATTTTAAACATATACTTCCTAGTTGCTCAAAATAATGTTAAATGTATGTAAAATCAAATAATTAAATATGATGTACTAGTTCATAACTTCTGATTCAAGTTTTTCTTTAAGTTCTACTTTTGCTTGTCCTTTTTTTCTCTTTGTGTTAAGATGGGTTAAGCATTAGCTTCCTTTGGATCCAATATCAAAGCTAAACTGAGGGTTGCCAACTCTCACACACCTGGTGTGAGTCTCACTATTTTCTGTCTCTGTCATCCACTAACTCCATTCATATATATTTCACTCCAATCAAGGAAACTAGTTGTAGCAATAGGGTTGGTATTTAGCTATTTAAGACAATCCAGTTATTGACTCTGACTCTGTGGCATGGCAGAGACTTCCATTGTACTTCAGAAAACTGACTGATGGGACATTCACACCAAACGTGTTTTGGGCATCAAGTTTGTCTTAGTGCCGAAATTTGGACGCTGGATCAAACGCTGGTCATGTTGCCGTGACGCTTCCAAGCTTTGGCTGCGCACTGGCTTTTATCTGCTGTATTATGTAGCTGCAAGTTAGAGAGCTGCTGGCTTTATTTACTTTGATGCATTGGAGAAATAGTTTTAACACCTTTTGTAAGAGAGGAAGTCCACCTCCAAACAAAATCTGTCAGTTCATCAGGATTATATCCTACTAAAATATGCAGTTCTTGTTCGGAGTGGCAGACCTCCAACATACCGGCAGGAGGCATCACTGGAAATCCCAGCTGAAAGCTCTCTGAAGGGTCCAGCTTGTAGGGAATGTCCCATTGCCGTTCTTGGCAACTGGAAGTGAATATAAATAGTTTTTAAGGTTTGTGGTAAAAACTACAAGTACCAGAATATACAATTGAGTATTTTTTGTCTGCAGGTTAAACTTTGAAGTTTATCACTCCATCCATCCATTTTCCATCACACTTATCCTAAGCAAGGCCACTAGGGGCCGATCTACAGCTATCTATGGGCGAGAGGCAGGGTACACCCTGGACAGGTCGCCAGTCCATCGCAGGGCAACACAGTGACAAACATGACAAACAACCATTCAAGCACACACTCACACCTAAGGAGAATTTAGAGAAGCCAATTAGCCTACCAGTCATGTTTTTGGACTGTACGGAGACGTCGTAGTACCCAGAGAGAACCCACGCATGATCTGTTAGAACATGCAAACTCCTTGCAGAAAGACCCAGGATAGGGAATCGAACTCGGAACCTTTGTGCTGCAAGGCACCCCTATATATTTATTTATTTATTTTTCATATGCAGACAGCTCTGCAGAAGTGATAACAGCTTGCATGTAGTGTCTGTCTCCTCCAAGAAACTCCTGGAACTAGCTTCTCTGTTTGGTTGATATGTCACGGTCCAATGGCAAAAGTTACATTTTTTGAAATCCTGCAACGAACCCTCGGATGGCCAAACGCTCGGATGCTCTGCTTCCGATGCTCGGACGCGGTGCTGGACCTCTCAACACCATCCCCAGTAGACGTATGCATCAAAGCATCTAAATCAGATGCTTTGATGCTTCAGTCTCTGTTTGGCAGATTCAAAAACTAATCTTAGTGATATTTTAAAACCAGATGATCCAGGGTTGCTGTCCCTTAAAGGGGATCTGTGATTTTTTAAGAAACAAAATTAGTTGTCTAATATAAATCAGGTTTGATTTAAATTTACACACACAAGAATGCGCAAAAACAAATGTATAAAATGTTAGGGTGGAAGACAATGCCTGGTTAAGAAGTGTTTGTGGAGTTGGCAACCCTACCCAGGAACACTGTTTTTACATAGGACTCTCATTGATTGGTCATCAACACTGTGGCAGCTCTGAGTTACTATCTTGTTTGATGGATAGGCCTCTTCACCAGTAGGATCTTAAATATCACTGGGCAGAAAATAAAAACACTTGATAGCATTTTCCAGTGTCCTTGCTTTAAGATGTGATTTATGTGCAGCTGGCTTTCAGCCCTATAATGATCTAAAGGACAATACAGCTGCCATTTGTAGGGTTTTGTGTCACTTTTTCTGATAACATTAAAATGGATCTTCCCAGGCAGCTGAAACAATCCATGTTTTATATACAAAAATTTAAATGAGCCCCAAAAACAGTCAATTTGCCATTAAAATTATATTTGCCGAAAGATGGTCGTCAGTCATGGAGGGGCGTTTAATTAGTATAAAAGGAAGTGTACTTCCCAGAGATGGGCAATGTGGAGTCAACAAGTCATCTCCATGTCATGTATTTAATCTACCCAGCCAATTAACCAGGTGAGCCCAATCTGCACAGGTTAATTCACGGTGAAGATTGGACTCACCTGCTTCAGTGGCTGGGTAGAACAAATACATGGCATGGAGATGACTTGTTGACTCCACATTGCCCATGTCTGGTACTTCCCTCTAATCTCTACAGACTGGTTCTGGTTACCAGAAGAACAAGGGATTGTTTTGGAGTTTTTCAGTAAGATGTCTGCAGGAGAGAACCATTCGTATTTATTCAGGACAAAATCTTTTCTTTAGTGCTTTAGACCTCCTGCATGAGAAGGACATTGCTCTGTTGGATTTATCAAAGATGGCGAAGGTAGTTCTAGGGTGTATTCTCATAGCCATTTTACAGGGAAAGTCAACTATCTGTGAGGAGCCACTTGTTGATCTAGGCCATCTGTGCTGCAGATGTGGCATAACTTGGTAGTGCTTCACCATAAGCATGGTAAAGAGGGACTTTTCTGTTGCCCTCTCATCCCCCTTCAGCCAAATGTATCACTTCAAGAACCAGTTGAAAGTTGGCAACCCTGATCAAATATATCTTTTATCTTTACTATTTTTATAAGCTTGTATACAAATATTTTTGTTTTTTCTGCCTTTATGTTGTTTATTACAATGCGTTTTATCAAATTGGGGTGGCTCAGGTTTTATCAGTTAACATAGGAGTCAAACCTAATTGCAAATCTAACTTTGATATTGTTTTTACATTTAAAACTCAAAGCGTTTATAAACTCTTTTACCTTGTTTTAGGTTTGGATGCCAGTCCACCAGCCAGTACTCATGAACTCACCATTCCTAATGATGTGAGTATTACTGGAAAGATGTTTAGAGATCAATCCATTTCTGTGCTTAAATTAAAACAAGAATCTGCTGGAGCTTAACAATGTTAAACTGTAATAATATTACTGAAAGGACATTAATATATGAGAAACATATAAAACTTGTTTTTACCCCAACAGTAATGAAGAACAGAAGACGTGTAGACATTGTTTTAACAGAACATAATAGGGGCTACTTTAACAAATTCTCAACTCTTATATCAGACTCTCTATAAACACACCATCATGTTTGCATGGATAGCCCACATCCATTTTTTTAAACTCACTTCCTCTAAATTTTGATTTTAGGTTATTTACTTAAACTATAAAGAAGTACTTTTGACACTTAAGTCCTATAAATTGGAACATCCATTTAAAAAGCTGTGTTCTTGAAGCTTTATTATCATGTATTACTCTAGTTTTCAATATTTTCTGTCATACTGACATTCATATGTGTCTATGTAAGCCACTAACCTTTTGGATTCCCCCCTAACCCAAGATAAAGCATTGACTTCCACTTCTAGATTATTACTTTTTTTGTTTCACATGCTTTTTCTTTTCTTTCCTCAATTTCCACCAGTATACTCGTAGAGGAGCCAGTACTTCCAATATGACCAAACCTAATCTTTAGCTTATTTTCTTTGCAGCAGCCATCAGTGACTGTATGTTGGACAACAGCCCAACCAGATGTCTTCACCACATTTTTTAAGCATAACACAACA